AACATATGCATGTGAGAGCTAGACAATGAACAAGGAAGACCAAAGAATTGATGCTTTTGAGCTGTGGTGTTGACGAAGAGTGCTGAAAGTACTGTGGACTGCTAAAAGAACTAACAGGTCTGTCCTGGAAGAAGTGCAGCTGGAATCTTCCTTGGAAGCGAGAATGGCCAGACTTCATTGCCCATACTTTGGTCATGTTGTCAGAAGGGACTATTCCCTGGAGAAGGATGTCTTGCTTGGTAAGGTGCAGGGTCAACGAAAGTGGGGAAGGCCCTCAACAAGATGGATTGACACAGTGGCAGCGGTGATGGGCTCAAGTACAGGAAGGATCGTGGAGCTGGCTCAGGGCTGGGTGGTGTTTTGTTCTGCTGTGCGTAGGGTCACTGTGAGTTGGAGATGACTCAATGGCACCTATCAACAACAACAAAAACTATGAGCAGGCCTTGTCTTACACAGATAGGCTTCTAAGTACATCTGCTTTTCTTCTGTCTCTTTCTCTTAAGCTCTTGATGGATATGAGAAAAGTCATGTACCTCCATAATAATCTACTCTGAGCACAATCTTATCTTAAGGTCAAGAATTTGGGTGGATAGGAGTAGGAAGGTTAATTTTAACCTAAGGTCCAAATTGCATTCTGCAATGTAGCTTTACTACAACAAAGATGCATTTTAACCCACATCTAACTGTCGTTGTTTAGGTGTTGTCCAGTAGGCTCTGACTCATAGTGACCCCATGTACAACAGAATGAAACATTGCTGGGTCATGTGCCATCCTCACAACCTTTGCTATACTTGAGCTCATTGTTGAAGCTAATGTGTCAATCCACCTTGTTGAGGGTCTTCCCCTTTTTCACTGACCCTCCACTTTACCAAGTGTGAAATCCTTCTCTGGGGAATGGTTTCTTCTGACAACATGACCAAAATAGGTGAGATGAAGTCTGGCCATTCTCACTTCCAAGGAGGATTCTGGCTGCACTTCTTCCAGCACAGATTTGTTAGTTCTTCTGGCAATTCATTATATTTTCACTTTTCTTCGCCAACACCACAATTCAAAAGCATCAACTTTTCTTTGGTCTTCTTTATTCATTGTCCAGATTTCATATGCGTATGTAGTGATCGAAAATACCATGGCTTGGGTTAGGTGAACCTTAGTCTTCAAAGTGACATCTTTGAGCTCTTTAACATTTTAAGATGTCTCTTCCAGCAGATTTGCCCAGTGTGACATGATGTCTGATTTCTTGACTTCTGCTTCCATGGGTGTTGATTGTGGATCCCAGTAATATGAAATCTTTGACAACTTCAATCTTTTCTCCATTTATTGTCATGCTGCTTATACATCTAACACATCTAACTAGGTGTGCTCATGTTTAAGTTGTATCAAAGATGAGAGAGAGGTAATTAATTATCACTCTTTGAACCCCAACATTGGGTTTAGGTGAGGTTTGTTGTTGTTGTTGTTATGTGCCGTCGAGTCAAACCCGACTCATAGCGACCCCTCTTTGGGTTTCCGAGGCAGTATCACTACGGAAGTAGGATTGCCCAACCTTCCTTCCGAGGAGTGGCTGGTGGGTTTGAACCGCCAGCCGTCTGGTTAGCAGGCAAGTGTCTTAGCCACTATGCTACCAGAGCTCCCAGGTGAGGTTTAGCACCTTGTAATAAGGTTTGAACCCGATTCTTGGAATTGGGTATTATTTCTGGGTTGGACTCACAGGCTAATTTATGACCCTAAAACTAGTAAAATTCCATTTGCTTCACTGAGATTACTCTTAAAAGCTGCCGGTAGTGGTAAAACTTGGAACAGGAATCAAGTGACTCAATGTTACAGAAATGAGCAGTGCGTAGTCTTGAAATTGATTCAGGCCTAGAAGATAGGAAGATGTTATTATCTAATTATTTTATTAGACTTATTATAACATCATGCTGCTGTAAATGAGATATCCATAATATAGAATTCTCTGAAAAAAAGACTTAAAAACATTTGGTTAGCTTATTTTTGGAAGATTTTTTCTATAAAGAATTTCCATGAGGGGTACGCCTGGGTATAGCTTCCTCTTCTTAGTTTATGACATGGACAGATTGAGAAGAACTAGTCCATGACACAAGACTATGTAAATTATAATTACTTATATTTCAGGGATTTTCTTACATAAGGACTACAATGCTGAATGATTAATGATCTTCCAGAGATTCGCTTGTTCTCTCTGTAGCATTATTGCCTTGGGGCAAGATATTATTCTATAAATTATCCTGAGTTACCAGGTAGCAAGATTCTAGATATGTAAGATTAAACAATCTCTAGGGATTATCTGGGAAAACTAGGAAGCTTTTTGTGTATTAAAGGGGTTCCTTGGGAGGTTAATTGGAGAGGAAGGAGTCATCTAGCCACCTTATGTTCCTTTCACTTGTTGTCATTTCTAATCCTGTTTTTTTTTTTTAAGCATTATCTCAGTAAAAAGAAATTAAGCATTTAGAAGTTTAGTGTATTCTAGGGAAAAAATCTCAAGCCAAAAATTAAGATGTGTTATATGCATTAAATGATTAAATGATGCTACTGCTCAGAAATAACTTGTGCAGTTGTGGTGCCTAAGAGCAGTTGGGGTGCCCTGATTGGAGAATCCTTGGATGCTCACCCTTCAACTGGATTAGATGTCTCAGGGCAGAGTCTGTCCCCACCATTGTTTTCCCCAATCCTAGCCTGGTGTCTGAGACACTGAAACAAATCAATAAATTATTGAATGGATAGGTGTGTACATATGTATATCCAGGTTTTTCTCCACAAATATTTAAAGAAGCCAGAAAAATAATAGGGATGCGGGTGATGTGTTTACTTAATTTTTCTGGGAAATGTGTGTTTTGGGTACCAAGTAAGGAGCTCTGGTGGTAAAATGGGTAAAGCATTTGGTTGCTAACCAAAAGGTCGACAGTTGAAATCCACCAGCTGCTCCTCGGGAGGAAGATGAGGCAATCTACTTCCATGAAGATTTACAGCCTTGGAAACCCCATGGGAGTCACTATGAGTCAGAATCAACTCGATGGCAGTGGGTTGGCAATGGGCCGGGTAATAAGTTAGTTATCAAATGTTTTTAGAGATACGTGGCTAAATTTTCCCAGTTGTGTATGTCCATTACTTTTATGAACTTGAAACCATTCATCTTAATTTTGATTATTTCCAGTGAACATCTACCCTTCCCACATGAATACATTTTCTTTTTGTAGCCCTTGGTTTATCTGAATTCAGAGGTTTGTTTTTTTTTTAAATTATCTACACTAAAATTTAATTACTTTTCTATGTTTTATAAATATTTCTCATTTTTGTTACTTATTTTCCGTTATTGATAAAGTTTATATAAGAATAAAGTGACTCAGAAATTCCAATTGGCAAAGCATAGGGATTTATCAAGATTGACCAATGAATACACTTTATGTGTTTTAAGTTAAAAGACAGATAGGTGGTCCCCATTATAAAATTTTTAATTAATTACTGGCCTCAACTGCACTGGATGAAAGGGATTCTTCATGTAATTTCTTAAAGCAAACACAGAACAGACCTTGTTGCTTCTCTCTCTCTGGGAAGCCACCCCCTCCCCTTGTTTTTTTCCATAAAACTGGTGTTTAAACAAACGTTGACAATGCTGTATAAAATGTTTCTGGACTGGCCTTGTGATCCAGCTGTGAAACCTAATTTAACACAGTTTTGAGGCTCTGCATCTTTCTCCTTTTCCTTAAGGTTTGCTTGTCATGTGGTTTGTGAAGAGAGGTGGGGGTCAGTGTGGGGAGAGTCTAGCTTAACAAAAAGGGATGAATTGGATACTCTTTTTCCTTTCAAAGTGATTTGGTTAATAGCTTCTACACCATGTTGTTTAAATTACATGTACCACCTCTTCAAGGAGGCATTTGATAGCTAAGTAGGTTCTTGGCAGAGTGCCCCCTCTTTTTCAACCCCACCCACCACACCATGAACTCTGGGCTGGATGGACATTCCAGGGATGGGTTTTAGTTATGTTTTCACCATCAGCCACGTCTTTCCATCCATCGTCACTTTCTGCCATGTACTCCTTCCAATAAGCCACCATGTTTATGTGACCCTTGTCATATGAACCCTTTGATAATGTTATGTGCCGTCGAGTTGGATCCGACTCACAGCGACCCCTCCTTGGGTTTCTGAGGTGGTATCACTACGGAAGTAGATTGCTCAACCACTATTAAGAAGTCCCCTTTTTAGATTTTCTATATGTAACTCATTATTCTACTACTTTGATAAATGTCATGTTTTATAATCTGGTAGGATGTGTCATGAACATCATTTGCCACGTTTTCTTTCTAGATGAATTTCCCTGCCATGCTGATAGTTTTAATGTTAATTTCTCACACATCTCTTTCATTTGATTTTTCTTAATAGCTCATTTCTGTATTTTTCCCTAATGTTTTATAGTTTTCTATGAATAAATCTCAAATACTGAAAGTAAAATTCATGCATAACAATAAAGTTTGTTATTGCCTTATGTCAGTAGAGTCACTGTCAATTGTGTGGCTTTATCTTACATGACAAAGTTTTGCAGCTGGGGTGATTGAATTGATTTAGTGAGGTATGCCAAGTATACTATACATTGCTCCACCCTTGGAGTACCCTGTGTGTCTTGGTATATAATTGATATTGGGTGGCTTGACTCTTGTCTTTCAAACCATCCTCTACCCTTCACCCTCCCTTAGGCTCCACCCTCTACACCCTCCTCACCTTTCCCAGCCCCTACCCTCTGAACTCTTCACCCTCAGTTCTCATTTCCTCACCCTCTATCCTCCCCAACCTCCCAGCTCCCATGCTCTTCAACACCTCACCTCAGTTCTCACCCTCTTCACCCCAGATTCCCCACTTCTCATCCTCATCCCCCTCACCCAGTTCCCAGATTTTTCACCATCACCTCCCCATTAATCCCCCCACCCCCATCTGCCATGCGACCTACTCCTCTGATACCAGTGGACGCTGAAATGATCAGGACACAATTTGCACTTAACCACTAAAGCTTTATTAATTGAATTTTTATTACATCGACACAATACAGTATTAGTTAATAGAGAGAAATATTGAGTAAAGAGAATACAGCAATAAAGGAACACAATTTGAAAGGGGGTATAGATAGGGAGGTCGGGATGAGGATAGGGATAGGGAAGTGGGATGGGGGTAGGGTTAGAGAGGGGGGAAGGGGATGGGGTAGGGAAAAGAGGCAGAGGTAAAGAGGAGAGCTACTGATAGAAGCAAATACAAGGATTCTTACTCATCTCTTTCCAGTAACTTCCATGAATAAATTTACCACCCATCAATAACATCTTTCCAGAAACAATTGCTCTAAGGGCACCAATCCATGCTGTGACTTTCTAAAACTTTTGCTCACAACCGTAATGCCCAGGGTTAAAACCCAGGGCAAAGAGGCTTCTTAATTTCTTTATCCAATCATCTTTTAACTTTCTCCCACTAGGTTTTCTCCACACCCAATTATTCCTAAATAGGTTGATCTCCTGCCATTCCCTCTGCACTCACTTAAAATCTTTAAGGGTAACAATTACAGGGTAAAGGGTCACAAATAGATATACAAGTCCACTTATAGAGATAACTAATACATAATATCATTCTAACTTTCTAATTAATCCCACCCCTTTAAGATTACTTAATAGTCCCTCCCACCACTAAAGTACTTATGATTATATATAATATCCCCTATTACTTAAACTGATTACACAAAGAAATAATAAACAATCCAAGTTTCCACAGACATAATTCGATAGCGTTCTACAATCACAACCAACAAAGAACTTTCAGTCCCACCAAATGCGTCCTCTCTTTAGATGAAAACATAGCATGGTTCCCTCACAGGCTATTCATTTCTGCAGGTGGTCCTTCATTTCTTCCCGGGTCTTTCCAGCAAAGTCTTTTCTATTGCCAATCTTGGAACGGTATCTGATGTGAGATGTCTGTGGTAGATGACAACTGGATCAATTCAGGAGCCTGAGGTACCTGCAAACTTCTTAAACAGAAATCCAGACTGCATCATATAAATGTGCCCCTCTTATTCTGATTCAATCAAATGAATCCTCCACTTTCCAGCATCTAATACAAATACCTCAGTGCTCAAACTAAACTGACCCTCCATATATATATGTAAAACTTTGTTTCAATACCCTAGCATGATGACCTTAGCTAGTTCTCTCTAAGCTCACCTGAAAATGGGAGCTGTTAAATCTTTTTTCTCCTTCTTGATTTCATTAATTAACACTGAAAATTTAGGCCAACAGTCAATAAAGTTTGCCAGTTTGTTTCAAAGAATGGACTACTGGCTTTGCTTACTAATTCTGATGTTTAATATCTTGTGCTTTTATTTTTCTCCCTTTCTAACTTCTTTAGAGATTTAATTTCTTCATTTTCCTCTTTCTCAAGAATAAAGGCATTTTGTTGGTTAATGCCAGAAATTTTTTAAAAGATGCAATTAACTTAAATTGATTTAACTTAATTTGATCAATAAAATGAGTGAAAGGAAACTTACTAAAATTCAGATACTAAAGTCCAATAAATTTGAGATTACTTATCCTTAACATCTACATTTATAGATAGTATTTATCACAATAGAGCATAGTACACACTGCCAGTAAGTAAGTCACAAGCTTTAGTAAACAGCCAAACTTGTGCCAGGACTTCGTGAGTTGTGAACCCATACCAGCATGCACTCCCCCTGACCATTTTTGTCGCTGGCAATGTCTCCAGACTTTTGCTTGCAGTGGTGGCAAATGTCCATGTGTACATGCCGGGGCTGCAGGCAATGGCCCATTTCTGGGTCTTCTGCAGCTTAAAGATCAAGTGACAACTATAAATTTAACATAGAACAAACTTGATTTCAAATGTATGGAGGATGAACTGGTATCTGAGGTAAACTGAAGTGTCGTTTCAAAACAGTCCAGAAGCACAAATGCACCATTTTCAAAATAATTACACTAAAACACACGAGTGACTGACAAGCTTTCAAAGAAAAAATGTTTTGGATCAAGTAAGTAGCCAATTAGATATCTTCCTCGAAATTGGATGTGCTGTTGTATGATTTTTAGAAGTCCAATCAATAAAACCAAAATTATTTGATGTTAAAACTGAAGATTGAGGATGAACAGGATGAATATACAAATACTCCAGTTCGCAGGAGCCTCTCATTCACAGTGTTGTAAGAGAAGTTCACAGTAAAGAGACATTTTACACTACGTTACTTATCACACTGACACTAAAATTGAATAGTATTTTGCTATTCAACGGAAATAAATTTTGAAAGCACAGTCACCATTTCAAAACACTGTGTAAGGACACTACTAACCTACAGCTAAAGGTTTAATTATTTTAACATGCAAGAATAAGTGAGTGATAATGAAAAAAAGTGAAAGATGATGTGGATGGAAAAGGAAACTTCACCATTATACTCCTCTTCATGTTAGGCAATTTGATATATACACCGTGTTGTTTTGTACTGCTTAAATTGTGTTTAGGCAATTGGAGATTGTGTGTTGAAATGCACGCTCCTCGAAGCCTGCCTCTTTCTTCTCCCTGTGCAGCTGCAAAATGGAGTCTCAGCAACCAAGGCAGGGAAGGATGACACAAATCCTGCAGCAGGGTTAGTGGCAGTAGTAAAGGAGTAAATAGAAAGAGAGAGGTTAGACAAACAGTTCAAGGCAGTAGCAAAGGACCAGGCTAAAGGAAGTCAGGCAGTTCCAGGTTAGCACAATACATCCAGAAGACACCAGAGGGTATCACTGGATTGAGGACAACAGTGTGTTGTCTGTTGCTTTGAGTTGCTTTCTGAGGCCTTTCATCTACTGGCAGCTTAATGTCCCCCTCTAGGGGACCCTTTTCCATTAAGTGGACTCTGATTCCCTTTGCAGTGGTTACCCATCTAGACCTGGAAGAAAGGTCATCCAGCTGAATTTGAGATTCTTCAAGGAAGTCCATATCCTTAAGACAGTGTCCAGTGCCCTCATTTCCTCTTTTTCAGAGATTCCTCCCAGGCATATGAGTGTGGGTCTCGGTGCTAAAATGATTGCCCCTCTCTAAGCATCCAAATGCTATAGTCCAGTGAGGGGACTGATGATGTAATGCCCAGATGCATATGAAGGCAGAGACGTAGAGAGATGCTTCCAAGACCTTCAGGTAGCTTTTCCAGCCAATTAACCATGCTCACAAACAATCTTTCTGAAGCATCAAGACAAGCTGGTAACATTAACTCAGAGTCTCTTTTAAGAGTTTTAGGAGTACTTTTGATTTGATACTCTTAGTCCTGGCACATGATGGAAAGGTGGTCACAACATTTCACAAACATCTAACACACCTGGAGCCACCAACAGTTTCTGGTTACCAGGTTAAATGTTTTGTGGGAGTGATTACTGGCATGATGATGGCAAGGTGGTGTGACAAAGCCAGAATTTTTGGGTACGTGTGATTTGCACCAGGATGTAAAGGCACACTCTTACCATGCAAGAGTCCGTCTGAGAGGGCACTTCCTCCTCAGGCCTGAGGTGTTACGTGTTTGTAAGGTTTTGCCTGCTCCTGGGAAAACCGGTCGAGTTGCTGCTCCTTGAGAATTAACGGAACCATGAAAGTGGAGTTTGAAGATGGTGAAGTTTCTAAGGGTGCAGCAAGAGGATCACAGAAGCCGTTTCACACTGCACCAATTAATTGCGGCTTCCTCAATAAGGCGTTGGTCCTCTAGAAAGTGTAGAGTACCAAAACTGCAAAAGTCATGTCCTCCTCCTCCTCTTTTTCTCCCCCTCCATAAAGAAAACAGCATTTCCTGTGTTTTCATCAGCTTCTCTGTAAATATTCAACAGGGAATCTGGTAGCCTGCAATTTAGATGGTGACAAAGAGGTTTCAGCAGGTAAAACTCAGGCTGGCTTCCAGGATTCACTAGAAAGTAAACTTTTCAAAGTATTTGAGTGAGCTTGGCAGTCAAATTGGAAAACTGAGAGTCATTTTCTGTGACTCCCAGAAATGTTGAAGGTCTTTTGGTGCTTTAGGGTGTGTGCCATCCTAGGTGGCCTTGACCTTCTATAGCCTTTTCAGAGAGGATGTGCCTTAAGCTAGGTCTGAAGGCACAATAGTCCAATTTAGCACATGGTCATTGAGAAGCTGAATAGGAATAAAATTTGAGGGTAGAGATCCTGAAGGACAGGACAGGTATTTACATGGTGCTGTAAGATGGTGGCGGTGGTGGCGGTGGTGGTGGCGGCGGCGGTGGTGGTGGAGGAGGGTACTGAGGTACCGGAGGCTGGCGATACCAATGTGGATTCCAAGTGATCATAACTGGTACATACAACGACCGCCCATGCCCATCTCTTCCCACTGGGTACCAGGCAAATCCTACTGGGTAGGTCTGGTATGTCGTGTAGGTGGGATACGCTTGGTATGCAGGTATTTGTGGTACATATTCGACATAAGATGCCAGGTGAGCCTGGTCATCTAAATTTGGAATAGACAGCCGAGGATACTGATTCTGGATGGTGAAGCTGTTGGGAGCTCGGCAATCGTAAGAAACTTGCAGCTTCCATCCCCTTTTCACTTGGAGAACTTGGGCTCCATTTGGTGCTATGGTTGGAGTGATTAGCCCATCTTTAACATTTCTTGCCACAAAATCTCGAAGAGCAGCCATTTCAGGTTCAGACAGTGAGTAAACATGTCCACTTGGAATGCTATGTGCTCCTGGTATCATGTCTACACTGCAGTCAGCCACATGGTTGTCTGGGTAAACATTTTCATCAACTGGAGTGTACACGTTCTGGACATAATAATATCTCACAGGCTGGTAAACTCTGTATCCATCTACTGGGTAGTAGACCGATGGCTGTGGTGCTGGTGGTGGCGATGGTGGTAGTGGAGAATACATCCGGCAGTGGTATCGGCAATATTCAGAATCAAAGACTATCGAGCGGGTGCTCCATGTAATGTTGGGATCATGTGTGCTCAGCCAGCGGACCCCTAGGACGACGGGGAAGAATGGAGACTGAGTCACATCAAATGACAGCACCTCGCGGTGATCTCCCAGGTCAACTATTAGGTCATGTGTTTCATGGACCACTGGGCCCGATGCTATGGGGCGCCCATCAATTGCTTCCACAAGTATTGGCCAATCCTTTACTCGCAGAGGAATTCCATTTTGGGCAACGTATTCGTGGTCAATAAAGTTGCCAGAAGCACCAGAATCAATCATGGCTCGGACAAACAGGGTGTGTCTGCCCGGAAGATGAATCTGGAGCATCACTTGCAAGTGTGGAGTTGAAATTTCATCTCGTGGGGACCTTATTCGTTCTGGCCCGGTCGCTGATGGTCCCTCTACAGCGGGGCCGGGGAGTTTCCCGCCGGTGAAGCCTTTGAGGCCTTGGCAGGACAGCTGTCGGCGTAGTGACCTCCTGTTCCACAGTAGAGACAGAGGTTCAGCTTTCTGCGCCTTTCTTTTTCTTCCTGGGTCAGGCGCATGCGAGCACCTCCCACCGGCTCAGTCGGATCTACGTGGTGGTGTCCTGAAGCGTGAGGCATCATCAGCGCACGGGGCGGGGAGCGTGGCTTCCGAGCTGCAGCTGCCCTGGCCAGCCTTCTCTCGATGTGAATGCACTGGCCGATCAGTGCAGACAGCGACTTGGCAACTTCCAGACGGGACAGCTCCTCCTGAATGTGGTCACTGAGGCCCTCGTGGTATTGGTCAATCAGCGCAGGCTCGTTCCAGTCGAGGTCCTGGGCAATCATCTGGAAAGCATTGGAATAGTCGATGACAGACCCCATGCCTTGGCGCAGACGTCGGATCTTGCGTTTGGCAGCCTCTCGCCTCTGAGGGTCTTCGAAGACGTGCTTCATTTCTATCATGAAGGCTGGGTAGTTGTGCATCAGGTAATTGGATTGCTCCAACTTTGCAGAGGCCCAGCGGGCGGCACGGCCGGTCATCATGCTTGTCACGAAGCAGACACGGACGCGGTCCACTGAGAAATCTCTGGTGCTCTTTTCCATGAAGAGCTGGCACTGGGCCATGAAAGGAGCCAACATGTCAGGGTTGCCATCAAACTTCTCGGGTAGGTCATCGGGGCACTCTTCCTCACTGGGAGGAGGTGGGGCAGCAGCCGCTGCAGCACCACAGAGCTCCAGGTCATCCTCCTCAGCCTGAGGGGCGGGCTCCACTTGCTCGCGCAGAGAAGTGTTCTCCTCTGTGAGCTTCTGAACCTGGTTCTGCAGGTTGTTGTTCTCCTCGGACTGCTTCATGACCTTCTCTCTTAAGGAATTGATCTCTTCGGAGAGATCGTCTCTCTTTCGCTCGGCCAGGTTGGCGTTGTACTGGCCCCTTTGGGCGCTGTGTTTGGAAGTGGAGGAGGAGGGGTGGTTGGGAGGAGGAGGAGGAGGAGGAGGTGGGCAGTCGGGACCCAGGTTGAGAGTTGGGGTGGGAGGAGACCTCCCAGATATAGATTCACTCCTGTGGGATGGCGGGCCTGGATCCTGGCCGCTTCTTCCACCCTTTCTTCTTTTTGTTTTCAAAAGGCGTTTATTCCTGTAAATGAAAATAAAGTATAAATTTAACGTGCCCATTCAAAGTAGCAAAACACAAGTGTTAATTAACTATTTCTTTGCTCTACTTGTTTGTATAATTAAAACAAACAAACAAACAAACAAACCACCTGAAAAAGAAGAAGAGAAAGAAGTTAATCAATGAGGACAAGAGATAACAAAAAGTTACTCTTTTGATACTCAAATATCCCTTTCCTCCTCAAAAGTCACCTGGTCATATGGTTCAACAATACATAACTATATTAACAGCATCCTCACCTTCTATACAAAATGCAAAACTGTAACAGAATGCTGAGTTGTTGTTGTTGTTGTTTGCCGTCGAGTCGGCCCCGACTCACAGCGACCCCTCCTTGGGTTTCAGAGGCAGTATCACTACGGAAGTAGGATTGCCCAACCTTCCAGAATGCTGAGACATACCCCAAATTTCTTCATTGAGCAAGAAAAGCAAAACACTTTCAAGACAAGTATGAATACATCAGAACAAAATAAAGCCAAATAGATAATGCTTTGTTATTTAGACAAGTTAGGTGAAAAATTGCTAACAATTCCAATCAATAGGCAATAACAAGAAAGAGGGTTGAGTATTATAATCATAATGCTTATATTCATCAGCCCAGTGGAGGAGGCAGGAGGCATGTGCCACAAATCCTACCCTGGGCCTCCTCTAGTTCAAAACAACAATCACCACAACCACAAAAAAATGCACTTAGAATGATTAAATTTCTAATGATCTCTTAATGAGCCTCAAATTCTCATATTTGGAAAACTCTGAGAAAGTGCTCACAAGTTGAAACAAAGCTTAAGAACATAATATACAAAGCAGGCCAAATAGGCTATCTTGGACCCCTAACCATTTCTCACCCACCAAGGCGAAGATAAACACCAATTAAATGACATAAAATAAAGCAAAAGCAAAAACATTTGTCATTTAGAGAAGTTAGGTGAACTGAGGTGAAAAATAGCTAATAATACAACCAATAGAGAACCAAAAGGGAGGGGTAATAAAACACTAGCCCTAAGGAGAAGTGCCCCATCTTCCCCTTCTACTTAATTACCTTAATAACTTAGGCCATAAGCACAAGGAATGATTGACATTCAAGATCAAATATTCACATTTAGAAAAGAATTAAAATTAGAACACACAACACATCATAATCTTTGACATTTAGTCTTATACCCAACTCCTTACTAAACACTGTATTAGCAACACTGGCAATTCAATTTTTATTAAATTAAGACTTTTAATATCCCATTAGAAAACAACTAATAGGCACAGGCCAAGTGACTAAGGTGTCACTTCTGTTACCTAGACATTTTAATACATTAGAAACACAAGGCAAAGACTTCCTAAAGGGCATTCACAGTATGGTCAGGCAGCCTGTCCCAGGTCACAAAGGTCAACATACATGTCAATCACAGCCACCAGATGGGGGATAAGGGCACTTTATTCCAGCCCAGGCATGATGTTTTTAACATCTGCAAAAAACAGTGATTAATCACAACTCAAAATACCTTAGGAAATCAGCAAACAATCACCGTAAAACTTGTTTAGGAAAACTAAAATTCAGTAAGGATTGAATTCAAATACCTCTGATACTCAGGAAGATAATTCAAAAATGAGGAAAAACTTAGGTTGAGACAATAAGGAGGGGCTGTAACTATGTGATTTAGGGATATGATACATGGCTCGCCCCAAGGACATTCCGTTCTTTCTTAAATTTTTTTTTTTTTTTTTTTTTTAAATACAGTGCTGGTCAAATAAATTCAGGGCCTATGAAGTCACCAGTTTGAAAACCCTGGCCTTTACCAGTGTCAGGCAGCATAGCCTCACCTGAAGGCTTGTAAGTTTGGGATGGGATTCTAAGTCCTGAAAGAAATAACTGCCCAAAACAATTGAACTATTAAAAGTAATGGAGTACTGGGCAGGCTGGTTAATAAGGCATTATAACTGTAAATAAACTTTAAAAATGTTTACACAGCACTGGGGCAGGCGTTAGCATGGGACTCAACATTTTACCTTGATTAGAGTTACAGAACTATGGCTCCTTAAACTCCCTTAGTAGTGGCTGGATTGGGCAGATGGGGTCAAAGAGGCAGCATTGCTGAAAACTCAAAGGACACACACCATAAAGCCAAGCTACCTGGGACAGACACCATCTTACATATTATAAAGATTTCAGTTTTACTTTATGTAGTAATTAAATACACTTGATCAATCTTTGCTTCTTCACAAAAAGTTCTCTAGACAATGACTTCTATAAACTTCTCTTTCCCAAACACCAAAAAACAACAGCAGCCAAAAACTGCCTTGCATGTGCATAATGTCCTATTAAGAAAAAAACACTTCATTAAGCAGTTATCAGTTGTTTTACATTTTGAAATGCTCTCTACATTTCCTTAATTATTATGTGCACTGTTGTGAAATGCAAATTCTATTAATATGTGCATATTTTTGCATTGTTTTGGACCTATTTAAAATGCAGATATATAACTTCCATAGAGGAAGAGCTCAGGGGGCTGGAGACTTGCTTAAAGCTGTCATTATAGTCAAGCACATGATATTCATAGATGGTACCTTTGGGGTAACTGGGGGGAATGACAGATTTTGAGGAGCCAAGACCCCTAAATTTCCCCCTCACAAAGGTTTGTAATTTATGAAGCTAACTTTAAAGTTGCTTCATTCAGTTAGAAAAAGAACTACGTGGTGCATCTGACTGGCAGTAAGTTATGAATTTCACTTTTACAGATGGGCCAGTCTTTATGCCAGTGAAAACACTCAAATCTGTATTTTGTAATATAACCACTTTACATTCACGACACAAAACTTAAATAATAGTATGCACTATTAATACATTTGCCCCAAATTTAAATAATTAGATTTTCCTTTCTATTAGAAAACTACCTTGAATAATGGAACTTATAATTGTTTTGTACTATAATCATAGCTCATATTATTTAAATTTAAAAATGCATCATTTTCTTTTTTAAGATCTTGCTAAACAAGAGATAAGGCGAGCAACGCAAACCAAGACAGCAAAACACCCTAAGAAATAAGTATGGGTAAGAAACTAGAAAACACCTGCAGAAACCGCCAACCTATTGGTTAGCAGCACAGGCCTTAACCACTGCGCCATGAGGACTCCTTGCAGATACCAAGCAAGACACCAAATAAAACAATTTCCTCTGGTCACTTAACACATCTTTTATGAAAACCTAGCAATGTGCCAAGCACAATTTATTGTCTGTAGGCAAGTTACCAAAACCAAATCCGACGCCTGGAGTTGATTTTGACTCACAGTGACCCTATAGGTCAGAGGAAAACTGCCCTAGGGTTTCCAAGGCTGTAATCTTAATGGAAGCAGACTGCCTCATCTTTCCCCTCAGAGAAACTAGTGGGGTTCCGACCCAGGACTTTTCAGTTAGCAGTGCAGCGCTTTAACCAATGTACCACCATGGCTCCTTGTTAGCCAGAGCTAATACCTTAGCAGTTTAAATAATACCAACAACAATAAAAACTAACAGCTTCACAAGTAACACATCATCATCCTCATGCTCTCTTAAAGCCAAGCCAGCAAACACCAATGCGCCGCTTAGTAAAATTCCTGACAGTTCAAACTGTTCTTATTTTATATCCACCAAAGCATCTAATTCCATCAGGTCTCTCTACACAGGTCCACTAGTGTCTCAAATAAAACACACCTTTAAAGTAAATTATTTTACAAATTTTTAATTTATAGTAGTGAAAACATTGGGCTGGATCCTCTTGAGTCATCAGCCATGTCAGCGTAGAAGCAAGCGCCTTTCACAACCCATCATTAGTTTAAATTATGAAATGTTATTTAATATATAGATATTAAATATGTAATATATATTTAATATAAAGCATATGCAAAAATAACTTTATAAGCACAAAGTAATTATTATTGTTAATTGTTTTTATTATGCATATACTCATTGGACACTAGTGGATAAACCGCAAAACCGGCACAGCAGAGAAACTGCAGGAGGGCGGGGCCGTGCAGCCAGTCTCAGGCAGGTGAGGTGCGCATGCGCAGGGGGGGCAGTTTGATGTGAGTGAGCGACTGGCTCACTCTGTGTGCACCCGTGTTGTAGGGAGGGGGGCTAATGAGGAGGCAGGCTCAGAGGAGGAGCCAGACAACAGAGAGGTGGGGCCACGGTGGGCCAGTTCAGAGGAGGGGGCCAAGGGAGGGGCCAAGCTTTGGAGGGGCGGGATCTGGGCAGACCACCTCTGAGGAGCTGGGTTTTGAGGCAAGATCTGGATAGGCGGGTTCCAACGCAGCAGAGGTGGAAAATGGGGGGGGGGGGAGGAGTCTAGGGAGGCGCGCTCTGGGAAGGCGCGCGCTGCAGGGGAGGCGCGCTCTTAGTAGGCGCTGGGGGAGGGAGGCACACTAACTGCGCGCTGAGCAGAAGCTGCAGATAAGGCGTGCTGGGGTGGGCGGGGCAGGTCTGAGACTGGCTGTTGAGGGCTGCAGAGTATCTGCTGGCCACTCCCAGAGTCCCCCCTCACAAACCCCTCCCACCAGGCTCCTAGAGCCAGATTCATTTCTCGCCGCAAGAGCAATCACCCCCCACATCCAATTCCACCCTTCGAAATGAAGCAAACCAACAGCTTCCACAAACTGTTGCTGAACGCCAATCCTCACCAGCAGCTAGTCTTGCAACTATACCGCCACTTCAATCAAGCTCAACAAGGCAGGCAGCCCGCTCTGCCACCACCAAAAATTCCCTTTTATGCTCAAGTCAGAGCCCCTCCATTCCACTGCTAAAGCAGGAATGGTGTAGACATAATGTTAAGCATTATATTTGCCCAGGGCTCCATTTTGTCCAATAGCTCGATCGCACAGAGTCGTCCACCAAAAAGAAACATAGTGGGAGCCATTCCAAAAGGTGTGTTAGAGACAAAGGGTGGCGTCCCTCTCCGAGACACCATTTCACCATGCTGCTCATGAGTCTCTACAGCTAGTTTGTTGCGCATACCGGTCTGCAGCTTGTGTACAACTGCTCCTTTATCACTTCGTACCATTTTAGATGTAAATCGTCCAGCAGCTCTTGTACCTCTGCAGTTCATAGTTTGTAGCGCAATGAAGCGCCAACCTTATTTTTGTAGCGCTAATCTTCTGCAGCTCAGATTTTATAGCGCGTTTAAAACTCAAATCAGTCTACAGTCTGCAGCTCATGTACGACGTATCTCTGCAGTTCATATTGGTTTGTAGCGCAATCGAAGCGCTTCTGTAGCAAATGTTCTTCGGCAGCTTTCAAGTTTGCAGCACACTAGAAGTACATCAGTGTGCAACACACTTGAAGCGCCCATCAGTTTGTAGCGCAATGGAAGCGCTTATCAAGTTATAGCGCATTGAAGCGCCTAGTACTTTGTAGCGCATTTGAAGAGTAAATCGGTCTGTAGCTCATGTCCGTCTGCAGCTCATGTCTGTCCACAGCTCATCTGTCTACAGCCCGTTATTTAGACTTCGGTCCTGGAAACCAAAGCCCCAATGGCTTGGTTTCCCCCATTTTACTTTGGGGTACAGCCATGAAGGCGTGACAAGGTTTGCGTGGAGACATTCATGGGCGCTACTCCATCTCCCGCAGCTCCCGATAAAAACGGGGGAATGAATGTGATCTTAAAAATAAAAAACATCCTCACCGCATACTCACCACGCGAGGACCCCTCGGTGTAGACAGGAAGGACGGGTCCCACACCAGTGCCAGGCGTGGGCTCCGCTGGGTGCTCTGCAGCCCGGAGTGGCTCCGGACGCGAGCCCGCTCAGCGAACCTTTCGCAAGGCTCGGTGGACCTTTTCCGCTGTTCTCCCCAAGGCGCAATCAGGTTTCTTCGACACACACCAACCAAAGTTGAAGCGCGTGTACCAGGAGTGCGGGCTAGGTGCCTTATATAGGCTGAACAGAGGTGGGGGGCGCGAAATCCCAGCGTGCTCCG